TGTCCCTTTAAGCATTTTATTTCCACAATAAGTACTTTTTTTTAATGCTAAAATGTATATCTTTTTAACAAGGGTAGCTAAGTAAAATATTTATTATCAATATATTTTTTATTCATTTCTAAAACGTTTTCAAAGAAAATAGATCCATGTCAATATAAAATGTTTAATTTCCCCCATATTTGTTGTAAGCAGACAGCTCAACCAGATTTTGAGACAAAAGATAAAATTGACATTGACTCGTGGCTTTTCCACAAATTAGGATGGAGTGGCGTCAAGCACAGTTGACGAAGCTGATGCAGTTAATCTGGGTAACGGTTCCCATGGAGACGGAATATACGTCAGATTTGATGTGCTCAAACCAGACACCAAAAGGAGTTGGATGAGCGTGAAGGGTGAGCTATAGGTTTAATCACAAACGCCTGTAGCTCTTCAGTGAACATACTAAAAATTTAAGTTATAGTTTACACAAAAATTAAAATTTACTGATAATTTACTCACCCTCAGGCCATCCAAGATGTATATGAGTTTGTTTCGTCATCAGAAAATATGGATAAATTCAGCATTACATAACTTGGAAAAATGGATTCTCTGCAGTGAATGGGTGCCATCAGAATGAGAGTCCAAACAGCTGATAAAAACATCACAATAATCCACAAATAATTCACACCACTCCAGTCCATCAGTTAACATCTTGTGAAAAGCTGCATGTTTGTACAAAACAAATCAATCATTAAGGCATTTTTAACTTCAGACTGACGAGTCCTCTATAATATAGCTCTCTCCAGTGAATAGAATCAGGAGAGAAATATGCACAGATCAAGCACAGTTTACGAGCAAAATCAGTTCTAATCAAATATGTCAGTGGATTTTGATGTGAGAGGACAACAGGGCATGGACTTTTTCACAGGAGGAAATGTTATAATGGATTATGGACTAAATAGAGACGACGGTTTAAAGTTAATACGCCTTAATAATAGAATTGTTTCTTATAAACATGCAGCTTTTCACTTAACAAGACATTAATTGATGGATTGGGGTTGTGTGGATTACTTGTGTGATGTCTTTATCAGCTGTTTGGACTCTCATTCTGACGGCACCCATTCACTGCATTGATCCATTGGTGAGCAAGTGATGTAATGCTAAATTTCTCTAAATCTGTTCTGATGAAGAAACAAAATCATTTACATCTTGGGTGTCCTGAAGGTAAGCAAATTTTAATTTTTGGTGAACTGTTACTTTAAGTTCAATTAACATTGGAATTTTAGGACTGAAGTTTTTTGACATAGCATATGATGACTTTCTTACAGAGCTGCTGGGTCAGAGGTGTGCTGTTGCCCGGGTGATCTGGCCCTATATGCTCTCAATTTTGGTGACATATTTCATCACTCTGTGTCTGTTCCCTGGTTTGGAGTCAGAGTTACGCAACGATACACTGGGAGAATGGCTGCCTATTCTCACCATGGCTCTGTTCAACATGGCAGACTTTGTGGGCAAGGTGAAATGAAGCTGTTTGATGTCATGTACAAGCATATAGTATGATTTAAAAATGGCAAATGTTCAAAGTTCTTTATTTCTCTCTTTAGATATTGGCAGCGTGTCCATATGAGTGGGGTGGTGTGCAGCTGCTGGTGTGTTCGTGTTTGCGCGTTCTCTTCCTGCCCCTGTTTGTGATGTGCGTGTCGCCCGTGCAGCGCCCCCTGCTGGCGCACCCAGCCTGGCCCTGCGGCCTGTCCTTGATGCTGGGAATCAGTAACGGTTACCTTGGCTCTGTACCAATGATACAGGCGGCCGGCAAGGTGCCACTTCAGCAGCGAGAAGTAGCAGGTGAGTATGGCTGACACATGAGTAATTATGACAAAACATTTGTCACTCAGGGGATTTAGGGCTGTGAGTGTTATCAGTTATGCATTGAGAAAATAGGTGAATGCAATTGTTGAATTACTTTAGTAAAGATTTGTTTAGTTTCGAATTTTTAGATTTGAGTTTCAAAACATCAAATTTACCACTCTGAAATTAGTTAGAGATGATCACTGAAATGTTCTAAATAGAAATACACCATTTCATTTGATGCATTATTCAGCTTATCAAAGTTTAAACCACCTGTCTTCAGACCAGAAATAAATACCTAATATTTCCCAAAGGTCTTTTCATATTTTACCTGTTATGAGTTCATCAGTTGCTCTGGTGAGCTTTGTAGCTTTTTGTTTTTTAATCATTTTCAGTAATTGTGCTTATATTTTCTGTCATAATCACCACAAAATCAACACTGTTCCAAATGTAAATCAGCTGTTTGGGGTTTTACATATTTCTTTTTTTAAATCCCTCATCACCAAAAAACCTAAATGACTACTACATTTAATGCAATATAAAGCATGTACTTGACACATTTTTCTGTCACTTGGTTGCACAGAACGTATGCTAATACAATACATAATATATGAAATGTTTTTAAACAGACTAAAGCTATACTGTATAGGTTTTTAGAAATGTTGACTACTAAATTCTACAGAATTCATGCACATAGAAAACCTAAGCCTAGAGTGAAATTGCATACCATTGTTATTCGTGCGTGTTTACATCATGTCCGCAAATAAAGAGACCGGGTATTAACACGCGTGTTGTGCGATGTGGTAGCCTCAAGACATATTATTAAAATATTCGTCTTTTTTCGTTATTAATATTAATATATTTGCAGTTTTGATGTGACATTCGCTCTTATAAGATGATTACCTGTAACTATGGGTAGATGTGTACATTTCAAACCATCAGTTCCATCCACACTGAAGCCCATCCTTCACAAGCAACTGACAATTTTACGTTTCAACAGCTAGAGGGCAGTTACACATAGTGTAGTAAAAAAAGTGTAACTTTAAAATAGAATTCCTTGACACATAACATTTTTTTTTAATTATTAATTTATTTACAGTTCCCTGAATCCCAGTACTGAAGAAAAAAAACAGTGAGATGAAATTCATGTGGATAGCATAGCTCTATTAATTTGTTAGAACATTTGATGTGCAGTAGGCTATTTGAGTTGATATCGAAATCTCTGACTGTTGGCAAATTGTTGGAGGCTTCTCATTGTTGAATTCTTTCTAGCTGGGAAGCAGTAGACTTAAACAAAATTCTCCATTTGCTTACCATTTAATCTCATTTTTGTCTATGAGAAGCAACTGATATATTACAATTTTCTTGTGATTTTTCTTCGGCTATTTTTTTCAATATTGTTTTTACAGGGAACACCATGACTGTATCATATATGGCGGGACTGATGCTCGGCTCTGCTGTGTCTTACTCAACATACAGCCTGACCTCACAGGCACATTCTACTCACACACTGAAACTCAACAACACACTCACAGTACAGAGCTATATGCCCGGCCACTGAGTGTCTCTCTCTCACATGTACACTGTTTTGTATAGTTGTTAATGTAAGAATAAAGAACATTTCCAGACTCTATCCCTGCTGAAAACACCAGCTTAGACCAGCGTTTGTATACTGGTCCAGTCTGGTTTATGCAAGGAAAGTCTGCTGGTTAAGCAAGGTAAGAATCCCAGTTTGGGACACCAGCATATTAGAATTTCATTGTGGGGACCAGCATCTAAAACACAACACATGCTGGTGAGCAGCTACATATGCTGATTTGTTCATCAGGGATGTTGGCTCATATAAAATGTGTTGAGATATTAATTAGAGTATTATCCAAGACTGTCTGATTAACCATCGTCTTGTTAAACAAAATGATGTATGACTGTTCCTGTCGTGTTTAAAAGTATGGCCACCACGTGTAATTTACTGTAAGGTATGCTTTATAGTTCTACTTTATGACTGGTCGATATAGTCGTGTTGGTGTCTTGTTTCAAATTATGACCCTCCACTTTCACCTTAAACCAAGCTTAGGTAACAAATAGTTTAATTATTTGCAAAACATCTTATTCTGGCCAAAAGATGTTGTTTGACTGACATGTTAAATTGACTATACTGTTGACTACTGGACGAGTTGTGGAGTCATTTCCCTCTCATCATGTCATTTACTGTTGTTTTACACTGTTTTTATCAATAAAAAAAGTGAAAAGGCTAGAAAAAGATTGGAGGTTGTCATTTTGAGAACGCCTATGCTTGTAGGTTTTGTTGAAGTTTGCAGGTTGTTTAGCAATTGCAGTAGGCTATGTCCATGACCAGTTCAGAGTCAAGACAAATTCAATCCAGTAAATAAAATCCAAAATCAATCATAATGAAATCTTTACTCATTTGCTCTAATAAACTAAACTCAAAATTATCTTTTTCTGAAATTTTTGTTGTTTGTTTTTCTCCATTGATGTTGGTTAAAATATAGAGCCCCTGCAATCATCACAGACAGCTTGGTACAATTTTTATGATTCTTTGTAAAACAAAACAACAACAAAAAAAGCTAAGGAATTTCCCTTATTTATTTAGTTGCACTTTGTTGCATTATGTTTTAGGGTTAATGGAAATGTCTATATCGATGATGTCCTTACCTTTTATTTTTACAGTGCTGTCTGATACCGTCAGTCAGATACCATATAAGCTAACTAAATCTGTAATCAAGTGCAAATGCACATGTACTTTTTCTAAAAGCATTCAGTACAAGGTTTGCAGTATTAATGATTTTTATTAGAGGTTAATAGTTTTACAGTTGAGACATTATAATGATAAAAGTTACAATCAAATCATTTTCATTATAATTTTACAGATAATTGTCATTCTGATCAAGAAATGCGACATATCATTCAATATAGATTCCCTAAAAATGAATGCAAACTTAAGATTTGTTGAAACAACTTAAAAATGAAACTATATAATAATAATAATATATTATAGTGATTATAGTGAAATATTATAGTGATTATAAGTGTAACGACATTATAATGATCTGCATAAAACATCACTTAAAATAGGTTCCCTCAAAAATGTTTGCAAAGTTTAATCGCTCAGTGAGGCTTTATTTTTATGTAACCCCTGTCTGCTTTTGTTATTATTATTGAAACAACTGAAATGTTCTTCCATAAAGGTTTTCCAACTCTTCCTCTAAATAAGACACACTCATTTCCTCAATATTGGAGTTATTGTCATTGGTTCCAATGGCTCCCCATGAGTCTGAACATCTGTTATTCTGGTCGAAGCAGCAGTATGCAGTCCAGAAATGACTGGGAATATTCACTCTATTGTTTATGTAATTAGTGCCTGGTACCACCCCTGTCACAATGTATACTGGTTGTAAATTACATCCCCATTTCAGATATTGTGCCATCGATTTTTCTACATCCCACCATAAAACACTGTTAAAATGATCAGCTTGTGGAGCAGCATTGGTGAGAGTGAAGGTGGCATAAGCACAGCTCTGTGAGTTTGCCAGGTAGACTGGTGCCAGATGACCTTTGTGGTATCCAGAGCGGTAATAGTCTCTATTAAGAGCTTGACGGTCTCCACGTACTTGAATATCCACAGACCCCTCAGATGCCATGTTTGGTCCTCCATTATTATCATCAATCTGCAATATTATATCAAGAGAAAGATATGTTTGAGAATGCTAGAAATAAGAAAAGGAAAAAGCAAAAAACAAAAGTACATTCCAGTTCATAGGCAGCATTCATCCTTCAGCTTTTCCTGCTACACAACACACTTGTGTAAACACAAACATGCTACAACATCAAACTCTTTTACTTTGGAATCATTCATCTACTCATCTACGTTATTTAATTCTCTGTTTACTAAATGAAGTGCTTATGTGTATGGTTTTCTAAATTAAGCCATGTCTTTTTCTTCTAGACTTAAATGTCGATTTGACTTACAGCACTTCACTCAAGAAATTCACTGCAATACAGACACTTCTTGATGTTATTACTAAAGCTCTACTCTAGTATTGTCATGGTATTATTAGGATGGATTGTGTGTTTCAGTAATGGATGGTAAGATTTCACTATGTACTATAAATTTTGTATTGGTGTAAACTAGAGTGTAAACAGAATTAATTTAGATAATAATATAATAATGTTTATTATTAAATAATAATGTTTCACTTACTTTAGGTTCAATGTACCAACTAGCTCGTCTTTTACAGTGCATTATCCCTTCAAACTTGTAGGCTGAGTACACAGGGATCTTGTTCACGGTGTCATAAAATGTGGCATAATAATCAACATCCTTTCGCATTTGGCAGATCTGTCTGTACTGTAGTCCAGGAAATCTTGTAGGTGAACTTCCATTTGCAAAAAATTGGCGACATTCACTCTCAAAATCCCACACAACTCTGGCTGAACCACCGGAGAGAAGCGACAGCATCAGCACATGAAGAAGCAGCAGCATGATGAAGAGGAGATGATGAATTATCAAGTTCTCTGCAAGAATAAGAACCACATGTGATACTTTTCTTTCACATTTTTTAGTCATGCAAGTATCCTGTTTACTTGAATTAGAAAAACACCAAATTTGTTTTTAAGGCTTAAGTTAGGCATGTCAGGCTAAGAGTTTTCTGGTTGACCCAGATAATGTGCATATTGTGATGCAAAAAAGATCAGACAATTACCCTGACAACTTTTCTATAGCTCCCATTTTGAGCATTGTTTTTATTATTCATTTTTGTATGAGTTATTTGTCTCCTGTTTATGATGATACACTCTTGATAATTATATGTAAAGGTACTTCCTGTATGTCATATTTTCTCTCTGGTGGTTGGACTATTATTTGTTAAATATATATTATGCATGGATTATGCATAAGCAAGGTAATGGGCTAGATGTGTCTTTTCACAAAATATTTCTCAGGGAAGAGTAGGCCTCTGTATGTATTTACTTATTCATAAATAATTATTGCCCACAAAACCTTTACATTGTTATTGCCCAGAAAAGAAAAAAAAAAACTTTAATTCAACACGCACTGAAGTTTTGTTGTTGTTTGTTTTTGTGTTAACTTACTCTTGTAAGTTAAGTTAGTAAGTAACTTTCTAACTGTTATTAGAAAAATTAGATTGGTCTGAAGGACAGAAGTAGGTATTACAACTATATTCGTGTAAATGGACCTTTAACGCAAAACCTTATGTTGAGAGATATAGCCCTTGTGACAATATCCCCATGTGATGTCACAGTAAAGCATTTTACAAATTAGGCAAATATCAGTTGCTGGACTAAAATAATAGTAAAAATGAAGATCACATAACACAGGGCTAACAAACAATATAGAAGTCAATAAAAAAGCTAACTTTAAAAAGTGCTATCCATAACAAGTGAAATTAAAGAAGCATCTACCCTAGTAAAAAAGTAATAGATTTAAAATGCATTTATTTTATACTAAGTAGTTCAAGTCTATTAACATTTTTTTTATTTTTTTTATTAATGAAAATAGAACAAATAACAAACAGAGCATAGCATAAGACAGTCAGTGCTATACAAAGTGTGACATTAATTAGTAACGGGCACTGTTACTAATTAATGTCATAATATTTTAAACATGTTAATGACTTTCTGTTTTTTAACAATTTCAGAGAAGATATAAAACAATCAAATTCCACTAAAAATACCTTAAATATTGGGGATGAATTTAAACATTTTTGTTTATGTATATAAAATTTTGCCAGTAATATGAATAAATTAACAATGTATTCAAGACCTTTGTTAGCATTGTTTTCATAGTACACAATAATATCCTTTAAAGAAAAACAGTATTTATCCTTTACTAGATTAAAAATAAATTCTGCCAATTCCTAAGTCTATTAACATATTTACTGACATATCGCTTGAGACTTACGTACTACGGAGCCCGGGAAGTCACCTGTAGGAGAAAAAAAAACAATCCGTCCCCTCAGTTTATAAACCGTACTCACGAATTCTTAAACTGTTCCCTCGGTTTAACAAATCGTGCCCACGGATTAATAAACCGTACTCACGAATTTCCAATCCGTGCGCTCAGATTTTGTAAACCGTAGGCCTACCTTCGGTTTTTGAATCCGTAGCCACAAATTCATAATCCGTGCGCACGCTTTCGCAATCCGTTCCCTCGGGTTTGTAAACTGTACTCACGGATTCATGCCGCAAGCTCCTAGGTAGCCTACGTGTTAACAAATCATATTGTATATTGTTTTATTGCATATTATTATGTGGAATAGGCCTACAGCAAATTCTCTTAAGTGATTCTCTATCAATTGTAACGGTACGAGGTGGAATACAACGATTTAA